CCTAACATTACTTAAAAGCTTTTTTGCCCAAACTGGCCCACTTAAAGTTGGGGGGCTTTCACCCCCCAGAATTCCCCAGCCAGCCATGTTGGGGAGTTGAAGTCCACTCATCTTAAAGTGGCCAAGTTTGGACAACACTGCTTTAAAGGCTGCTGTACTTGGGCTTTTGGGGAGCTTGTTCTTATAGTCTATTGCTCTACCTCTGCCTCTACCAGTTCCTCCTCTTTATCCATTTCTGACTTGATGTAAACTTTGGTTTGTGGGTAAGGATCAGAGGAGAAAATCTGAGCCATTTCATGTAGACTCCTTGCCCTTCAGGGTCTAGCCTCCCTTTTTCTGAGTGTGAGTTCAGCTTTCACTGTTCCCAGCAAATGCCATGGGTTCCTTTGAGAGATGGCTCAGACCACAAACAAGAGGAGACATTTCCTACAGTGCTCTTTAATTCATGGCAAGATTTATTATATCAAAATAAATGTTTCTTTTATCAATGCAGTTGTGACATTTGTGGTTATTACTGTTGCTGTATTCAAGGTCTATTTTTATTTTATTTCCTGTTTTGATATTTAAGCATTATTTCTACTTTAATCTCCTATATTTATTCCTAGATTTCTGTCTCTATCCTTAATTTGATTTATCTTCCTTACTTACATTCAAATGTTTATCTCTCTGTCATGACTATATTTCTTATATCAGAAGAAAGCTGAAAAACAATGGCTTCTTCAGTAAATAAGTAGATTGCTATGGGGCTCACACTTGCAAGGATTCTAAAGTGCTTTTTGTAAATTATTTTCAGTGTACAGCTGCCTATATATAAGTAGATAGTTTCAGGCTAAAGCTCACACTTTGCTTTTAAGAGGTATACTAGTGGTGATACTCCAAAACCTGGTCAGGCCAGTAGTAAAATATTATTAAGCTAAATTAATGTATGTATAATGATATAAACTTGAAAATAAGTAGATTCCCTCATCCTCCATTTCTTATACAGTGGGGCAAAAAAGTATTTAGTCAGCCACCAATTGTGCAAGTTCTCCCACTTAAAAAGATGAGAG